TTCTGGAAGGTAGGGGTGCAGCGCGTCGTTTGTGTCGTTTCTCGTTCCACCTTTTTTTTCCAATTGTTCATAATCACCATGATGTGCAGTTTTTACGTCAGTTGTGAAAGCTCTCCTGTTTTGAAAAGATGTGATTTGATGTCACGGAACAGTCTTCTTAGGGCATTATACAATGGTCTTGCGAAAAAAAATGTGGTGAAAATAAACAATTTCTTATCCTTTCACAATCAAAGTAATTGACTTCCCATACAGATAATTTGGCAAGAACATTATATTGATGCTTATTAATTTGATGTTGATATCTTGATGCTCCGGATGATTTCTTCATAAATGACTGATATTATATTCTGGTAATAAAATTGATATACATAAATATATATATATGTATTGTAACTCTCCAACAGCAGCTGATACAAGGGGCAGGGAAAGAATTACTTAACTATTGACTTGTTTTTAAATTGCAGATTGTGAATTAGGTAAGTGAAACAAAACAGTCACACCCAGTTACCCGTCAGCCACTGACTTCATTTCCTACAGAGACCAAAGAGAAATTAAATGCCAGACCACAGAACCCTCAGTGTTTACCCCCCCCCTCCCCCCACCCCCATCGGTCTCGGAAGTTATCCAATGAACGATTTTTTAGAGCAAGGTGTCCGGGCTGTGAGCTTTCCCCTAAGGAATGGATGTGTATGCACATATATACATGTATGCATGCATATATATGGATGTCTTTGTGCATACGTATATGGTGGATGGAAAAAAGAAAGACGAAGAAAAGGAATAAAAGAAAAGATAAAAATATTCATGTGGATATATATATATATATATATATATATATATATATATATATATATATATATCTGTGTGTGTGTGTGTGTGTATGTGTGTGTGTGTGTGTGTGTGTGTGTGTGTGTGTGTGTGTGTGTGTGTGTGTGTGTGTGTGTGTGTGTGTGTGTGTGTGTGTGTGTATGCGTTTGCCCTATATATGTATACATATACATACATACATACATACATATATATATATATATATATATATATATATATATATATATATATATATAAATATATATATATATATATATATATATATATATATATATATATGTATGTATGTATGTATACATATATATACATACATATACGTATACAGATATATACATATACATACATATGTATATATATGCAGAGAGAGAGAGGGAGAGAGAGAGAGAGAGAGAGAGAGAGAGAGAGAGAGAGAGAGAGAGAGAGAGAGAGAGAGAGAGAGAATGAGATAGAGAGAGAGAGAATGAGAGAGAGAGAGAGAGAGGATGAGAGAGAGAGAGAGATAATGAGAGAGAGAGAGAGAGAGGGAGGGAGGGAGAGAGAGAGAGAGAGAGAGAGAGAGAGAGAGAGAGAGAGAGAGAGAGAGAGAGAGAGAGAGAGAGAGAGAGAGAGAGGGGGGGGAGGGAGGGAGGGGGGGAGGGAAGGAGGGAGAAAGAGAGAGAGAGAGAGAGAGAGAGAGAGAGAGAGAGAGAGAGAGAGAGAGAGAGAGAGAGAGAGAGAGAGAGAGAGAGAGAGAGAGAGAGAGAGAGAGGTACACAGTAATAAATACACAAACACACGCACACGCACGCACACGTACACACACACGCACACACACACATGCACATGCAAACACACACGCACACGCACATGAATATACACATACACATATGCATGTGTGTGCATATTTCCAATTATTTTTATATTTAAAGATATAAGTATAGATAAAATACATAGTTATATACATGTACGTGTGTGTGTGTGAGTGGATGTAAGCACATATATATTGAGCCTCCATGCGTGCACCCGTATGTGTTTGTATGTGTGTGTATACAGAATAAGAAAGAAAGAGAAAGTACACATGCATTTCCATCACTGGACCGTTGCTTGTTAAACCCCCCACTCTGTAAATGTTGTGTTCGTCAAATGCTGTGTTTTGACCCGTTTTGATGTCCAACTTCATCCTTTTCCTGGTTTCCAAAAAAAAAAAAAAAAAAAAAAAAATCGCACCGAAATATTTTGACGTCTGTTATGTTCACTTTTTTTTCCAAAATGCCAGTGTTTATTCGTTTCAAGTTATTTACGTTTGCTTGTGATTGATTATGATACTGAATATTTTTGGATAACGATTTTTTTATATATTGTATTTTACCTCCAGACTGAAATTATATAAAATAAAAACAACATAGAGAGAAAAAAAACAAAGTAATGATGAGTTTAAGATTATATTTATGTTTTGTTCAGATATCTCCAACAGTATACGCCCTTTTATATAATTTTTATATATGCATATAAGATCAGTATGTTATCCTGATATCTTTATGTCCGTCCCACAACGTCAGAAGTACTCAATATTTATGAATTTATGTATGCAATGATATCTCGTTCATTTAATGCTTGTATGATATATATATATATATATATATATATATATATATATATATATATATATATATATATATATATATATATATATATGTATGTGTGCGTGTGTGTGTGTGTGTGTGTGTGTGTGTGTGTGTGTGTGTGTGTGTGTGTGGTGTGTGTGTGTGTGTGTGTGTGTGTGTGTGTGTGTGATCGACAAGCTTGGGAAATAGTCTTACATTGTAAGTTAATCATTACCAAAAACGGTTGCGTGGGTTATAATGCTATAAATACCGGATAACCTGAATTGGAAGCAGGTTTTTAATGTAATCCTATAAAGACTAATTAGATAATGAGAGTCTGACAGTACAGTCTTTCGGCTTTAATCTAATAATATAACGTACTTAAATATCGTACATGATTGTGTTCTAATGGACTAGGTCAGAGGCCACACTGACCTCCATCACAACAATTGACGTTGAGGATGAAATGGCCGTATGTAATTGTTAGTGAAAAATATTGTAAGATACATATATATATATATATATATATATATATATATATATATATATATATATTTTTTTTTTTTTTTTTTTTTTTTTTTTTTTTTTTTTTTTTTTTTTTTTTTTTTTTTTTAATTACCCGAGGATAAGTTGAGAAAGATAAACGATCTTGTTTTGAATTCTGTGGTTTTCAGTTTAGGGTTTGACTTTCGTATATAGGTGTGAGTGTGTGTGTGTGTGTTTGTGTGTGTGATTATATATACGAATGTGCGAGTACCTTATATTACGGCATATTAGACACACGAAAAGGGCTCTAAAGACGAAAGGTAATCAAATGTTGAGAAATTTCTCGGAATTTCACTGAGGCTTGTATAATATGATCTGGAAAGATGTGTGTATATATATATATATAAGCATACATGAAGATATACTCATTGCCAAAAGCCTTAGTTTTTTATGTACTTTAAAGGCATATATATGTCAGTTTGTGTCTTGATGTATGTCCCCGATTCTTTTTTTGCCCAACCTCCCATTTACCCATCCATCCAACCTACACATTACAGTTATACCACATACTTTAGTATATACAACAAATAACTGAGTAACTAGCAATGATTTTTACAAACCTGAATATATTGTAACGACCGGTTTTCGGTTGCCGACCTTTTTTTGTCTGGAAGAAAGACTGCTCCAAAGACTTGAATTACAGAAAAGGAATGATTTTTTTTTTCTGAATTATAAATATGTTTTTTTTTCTCATTTTTTTGGTTAATGGTTCATATCTGTGGATTCTGCTGCATGATTATTGTCCTCTTCATTTTTTTTTTATTATTTGTTCTCTCTCTCTCTCTCTACCTCTCTCTTGCATATTTCAAATGACCTGCCTCTTCAAAAGATGATCATTCCTCCATGTGACATTATAAGCTTGTAGAATGATGACCGTACAAGTGTTCCATGTGCAAACTGTCTACAGCTCTGGATACAAGTTTACTTCAGTATTTGGTTATCATAAGATTTTTTTTCCCACTTGTATTCATTGATAAAATCCTGAAAACTGTAGCTGTCCCTTTGTGGTAATGACTGTTATTACTCCCTGTATGTCCTGCATTGTGTTCATGTACAAGGTTGTGTCTATTTTTTGTTTAATTTTCAAGCCATTAATCATATAATAGTATCTTGTAATGAGGTTATTGATAAGAGTTTCCACATAAATGTCTGATATATGAGAATGTGTTATTGTAAACAGATAATCAGATAGTGAAATAGAGTCAAGCAATGTCTAGTTTTTAATTTCTATTTAGTGTCTAATAAGAGCTTTTATAATTGTTTACCTAAATAATATGATAAACAGCATATGCTGCATTGCTTAATTTTTTTTTCTTCTAGATTATAATTAAGTATATTTTGCTCTTCAATATTCACCATATTTCTACAAAAAAGTCATTAGTTGAATACATACTGGTACAGATAATCTTACTAATCAAATATGAAATATATGTCATTTATCATGTTCTTCCCATTTCCTTAAGTGGGACATGGAGCATGTTAGCAAAAAGTGAATTAACTTTAGTGTATAATATTAATGTGCTAGGATTAATTGGTTACAAAGTTCATCTATGATTCTGAAATCTTGGTTAACTTGTATATTGTGAATGATATCTCCTGCTCTTAATAGTAATTCTTTCATCATTAGATTCAAAGAACTATTGTTACTTTTCCTCATTTTTTATATTACAACAGTGTAAATTTCTAGTGTCAAATTTGATAA